CGAAGACCACGAGGAGTAAAAGGTCGGTGAGAAGCTGCCGTGTGCTCTCGATGGTCTCCTGGGCGCCGTTGACTGTTACTTTTACTCCGAAATGAGTGGGAAGGAGTTCGGAGTCTTTGCCGGGAAAGCCGAGAGGGATCGTATCAATGATGGTGTAGAAGACATCGTTCGACAAGTTGTAAATATTCAAACGCTCATTCATTGCAGCAAGCAGGCCGTCGTAAGTTTTATTGGAAATCTGCTCGGTAAAGTCGCACCGCTCACGGAACGCATCCATGCGGTCGGGGATGGACGATGAAGGCTCCGCATAGACTTCCGCTTCAAGGGCACAGTGGCACGCTGCCTCGAGTTCAGGGGGGAAACGTTTCCTGAAACCGGAAGCAACCCTCAACAAGAACGAGGCTTGTTCGAACAAATCGCCAATCTCTGAGCCCAGGTTCCTGTGGCTCCACCGATCGGCTATCTTGGGCCCTTCTGTTCGAAGCTCGGAGCCTGAGTTAAGCAGGAGCAACTCGGTAGGGCTACATTCGCGAACGACTGCACAGCTATCTGAGAAAAGCATCCACGGAACCTCGTTGTAGACATCATACGCGAGGCGAATCGCTCCGAATCTTCTCTTGTTGATGTCCTCCGCGATCTGCCAGAATTGGCGCCATTTGGAGTCTGTGTCTGCCCGGTACCTAGTAAAATCCATGTCATCCTCCGCATACTTCCGAAGGGAAACTGTGGCAGCGACCGTCGAGCAGAGTCGTTCTTGAAGAGAGGCGCCTTTCTTTGGCGCAGTAGGAAAGGACAGGGGCCGAAGTGCTTCCTGATAAACAAACAAAGCAGTCTCAAGAACTTCGGGCGAGTATCGGTTCGGCTGTAGGAGGAAGCTCAACCACTTCTCCGTCGGGTCCACAGCATCCTCCGATGTAACAGCCGGTAACGATGCGTGTGCCCGCGTGTCCATGGCCGTAGACACCCAATTCGTCGCCCAATCTGTCACCAGCGTCTCGAAGCTGAAATGCAGTGTATACAGTTGGTACACGCTGTTATTTCTCCACAGCACCCACAGCTCCATACGCTTCCCTTCCTCCATGGGCTTGACCTGGAAATCGGCGATACTCCAAAACATGCTCCCTGTTGAGTCCGGATCCAATGGCGTCAGTGCAGCGTCAGGAAAGAGGTCCTCGACGACCAGCTGCGATGTCAGGCCTCCTTTGACAGCCCAGAATTTGAAGCGCCCATCCTCGAATGGCGAATAGGTGACTATGTAGTAACGATAACCGCCATCCAGCGCTCTTTCCACATTAAACACACGAATGAACGATGATTCGGCGGGGTTTAACGAGTATGAAGCAGATTCCTGCTGTTGTACTGGTCGGTCCAAGAGATCCTTTGTGGCGGCTAATCTGTTCGTAGCGAGGTTCCATATCTTCAAAGTGTGGTTCAAGCAAACTGCGAATGCATAGGTTTGATCGGATGTAGTGGCGATCGCATTGGCCGCGTTTACATCAAGGTTGCGTCCCTGGTATTTGATCGTGGGTTGCGCTTGCCATCGGACGAGACCGCGAATCGACGCCCCCCAGGTTCTCTCGTCAAATGTCAAAGGAGTCCAATGTGAACCTTTCAAAGCACAGAAAAGTCAGTATCACACCACGCGCATTGGGGAGAAGGCGTCGGGAGGGGAAGTACCATCGTCACCAGCCCTCCTAGTCAGGCGCAGCAGCGCGCCGCTATCAAGGGAAATAAACAACTCGAGCGGACTACTCGCATGTAACCGATGAGGATGAGAAAAAGCCAGAGGTGCCGGTGTGCAGGATTTGCACCAGTCAGATACATTCTCGTCAATTGCCGCTAGTCGTCGAAAGAACTCCGGGCGCAGTGTCAACGTGTGCAGCTGCTTGGAAGCCGTGATCACAAACACACTTAACACATCATGATCCTCCAAGTCAGCAATATCAACTCCAGCTGGAAGAATCTCTTCCTGGAAATCGAAGCGTAATGTGATCTCGTATTCATGATGCTCAATTCCCCCCTTTGTCAAATCCACGCACTGGATCTCCAGGACCTTGTTGTCATTAACCACCCGCCAGAGAAAGGTTCGGGGATACACTTTGTGTTTCCGGAAGTAAATTGACCCTTGAGTAGCTAGGTATCGGCGAGAAAACTCCTCCTCATCTTTCGCTGCTGGTTCTTCATGGCTGGCGAAGGATGAGGCTATCGAAAACCGGGCGCGGTTCCGCGAGCTCTCGTGGTTTGGAATCTGGATGTTTGCGACGGTATTCGGCGAGTACGGCCGAAGGTCGACTCTTGTGTCCTTATAGATTTTTGCCATGGCGGATTGACACTAGACCACCTTCCACAGATATGCAAATGGTGATCTCAAGCCTCCATGGCCGATTATCGCGGCAGATGAAATGGATGTGTTGCGATTTGGCGGAGTTGAAAGGCGGAAGCTGAAGCTCTTTCACTGCTCAAAAAAAACAGGGTCTTGGCGCGGGTTGCAGCAATGCGGTGTTAGTGTTTATCACTGACGACAACAAACGATCAGAACGACCAGTTTGACTCAAATTACATAGTTAACTGCGGATGAACCTTTTCCTTCGAGCTAAGAGCATAAACGGAAACTACTTGTTCCTTACATGGGCAACCTTCAGCAGCATCAATGTCAAACATCGGAACATGCTCGCATCAATCAATTAAGCTCTCTGTGATGTACATTGCACGCTAGAATAAAAGAATAAGACTATATGCACCTTAGTAAAATGTGAAGAACCGTCATGACATCTTGAACGTCGTGGAGAAGTCCCGATAATGCGACTAATCATTCTCCAAATCCTTGGGGCTCGGGTCTCCTATTCCATCCTCATTGATGGCAAAGAGACAGTCACTTTCTGGTAGACATGGACTGTCATAGATCTTGCAAACTCGGGTCTCTCCCCTACCCTTCTTCAAGCTCAATCTGGTCGTACTGGCATGCGCAATGATGTTACCACCAATGGGCTTCTTCGGGTCGGGATTGAACATCGCACTTGGACCACCATCAACCTGAGCAACTACTTGGTTTGTAATGACGACGGCGATTCCAAATTCATCCGCCAGTCGCTGCAGTGTCCGCATGAACTTGGCGAGATGCGTCTGTCGGGACGAGAGCTCACCACGACCGTTAAAATCCGTCCGGTACAACGAGGTGGCGGAGTCAACAACAAGAAGTGAGAAACGCGTCTCACACATCATTTGAGATGCCTGGTTGAGTAGTTGGAGCTGATGATCTGAGTTGTAGGCTCGAGCATAGGCGACGTTGTCCAAAACCTCTTCTCCTACCAGTCCATAACGCTGGGCCACGGCTAATAGACGCACCGGACGGAAAGTTCCCTCGGTGTCAATATAGAGACACTTACCCTCGCCACCACCCATATCAAACGGCAGTTGACAGGTGACGGCAAGCGTATGGCATATTTGACTCTTTCCTGTCCTGAACTCCCCGAATATCTCGGTGATCGACCCCGTTTCGATGCCTCCTCCCAGCAATGTATCTAGTTGCTTGGACCCTGTCGTGATCGATATAAGCTCACTTCGTCGGAGGTGCATCTCTGTGGCGGTTGTGAAGCCCATTGGCACGAGTTTGTTGGCTATAAAGTAAAAGTCAGTCAGATGCGATGTTTGGGGGGATATGTTGACCTACCCTCAACTAAGATTTTGGTCGCCTTCTGCTCTGAAATCCCCTTGATCTGTTCCAGCAATCGCTTCGGCCTGAATAGTTTAAAGTGTGAGTAGATTTCCGTGAATTACGCGGGGCTAAAGTACGCATATGAAGACCTACGTATATGCGATTGACTCGACTGTGTGATAGCCCGCATCAACGAAGAGCTTGATGTCTCTACTGGTCAAACCTGCAACTCCCTATACCGACTGTATCAGCAAATTCTCCTTGTATATTGACGTAGGGGCACATGGTGTTGTAGGGTTCCTCCCCCCTCCTCGATTACTCACCTCCAGAGCTGACAGCGGAGTAGGTGCGCCTGGGCCTGGCAATCCGCTCTCATCATACTCATTCTGAGTCTCCATATCGGCCGTCATGATGTTGACTGGGGACGTAATCAAGGTATGTAGGCGATTCAGTACTTCCACAAACCCGACAAAGATGTGGTATTGTCGCGAATGGTCGCGTTTTTCAGTCAATCCGTAGGTTTCTGCGTTAGTCCACGGAGTAATCGGCTTGAAAACCAGAGACTCAAAGGCGCTGCCACGGATTATTCGACAATATGACTCAACAGGAGACGCTTCAGCTTGTAATGTGGCAAATCGCCAGGTCGTCACTCAACTAAACAATCGGAGAGATCGCGAACGCGTCCTGACCATCACGAGATCACGTGCCATGTCAGCCTGATGGCTGCCTCAGATGGGTAAGGTCAACGATCAAATCGAACAACAGCGATAACATAGGTTGCAAATGCCAAATTTCAATACACTATCGGATGGTTCCCTTTCCCTCAGTGGAGTACTACGAAAGTTGCCTAGATCTTATTGCTACCATCTCTGTGAAATATCACCCGAGACATGAGATCATTAGAGGAGCGAAGAGATAAATCCTGTCTCAACGAATATTCAAGCTTATACTATATAAAATACAATTGTTACCCTCGACTTCTAAGGAGCTCAGTCATCTCAGCATGGTACGTATGAGTGAGCGGAGGCATAATACACGAATGCAAGTTAGGTTTATCCGACAGAGCCGAGGACCGGGTTTGCTTTGAATATATCTCCGGGATACCTGAGAATCTACACCACGTTGCTGCTTCATACCGCGTGTACTTGTTCTCACGACGCAGCAAAACGAATATCATGGCTGTGAACGGTCGGAAGCAATTCTTACTTGTGTCGATGCATGCCATCGCGCGGTAGAGGCTTCAGCTGGAACTCCTCTTTCGGACGAGTTTGGATATTTTCCTCGATCAGCCTACTAATCCTGCGCCTAAAATCTTCCGATGATTGCCCTCGACGGTGCCCTGGAGCTAGATATGATATATTAGCATCTTGCGAAGCACAGCAGCCATATCATTTGCATCAATGGACTCACCGTCAGCAACCGACTTCCGCTTTGTCTTTTCGGGGGACTTTGTTAGCCATGAGCTATGTGGGCCGAAGAATCCTCGTGATGATCGTCTATCTGATCCGATCGAGTTCTGGGACTCCTGAGGCGTAACAATATCTGAATGGATGAGCTGATTTTCAGGAAGTCTGTCGGAATTACCGCTGTTGGACTTGCTGCCATCCGAGATCTCTTTTTTGGAGGGCGCCACAGTTCGTCGAGAGTCACGACCAGCTGCGTTGAGAACAGACTGTTCCGTGTGCCAGCGGGATTGCACATCGCTTGCGGTATCAGCAGCCGAGGTTATACGTGTTTGCTTTACGACTGGCGTTGCCGGCCTGCTTGCGTTTGGGGTTGCAATCTGCGCTGGACTTGATGTGTTGCTGGTAGAGATCCAAATACCATCTACCTGGACACCCTTCTCTAGCGCTCGGGCCCCGAATGGTATGTCGCTCCCTCCAGTCGACACCGGATGTAGCTCGGTGCCCCGCTCTATTCTCTGATATGCTTCAGCGGCGGCATGTTTTCTGGTCATTCGTCGGTTATAAGCAAGGACACAGAATGCGTAAATGAGGACGATCGCCTGTGAGATGATCAGTGGCCGGCTTGTGAGCATGGGGGAAGTCGATCCTACTAGGAGAACTGCAAGAACCTGTTCCATTTGCCATTAGGTTCGATCACTTTGTGTCACCGATCTTATCGAACTTACCATGCTCAGCTTTTGCCAAAGAGCCCAATCCACCCAGAACCGCATCGTGTATGCTTTACTGGCTTCTCGCCAGTGAGATCTCTGGCTGTCGAGCGTACAGGCAAGGCGGGTGCTGTGAGGCGACAATGACCGGTACGCGATTCGATATTTGACCTCGCGGGTTTAATAGGGATGTGAGGACGCATGGATACGGCAAGGGACCTGGGAGAGGGATCTCGGCCCGCTAGGATGGAGCAGGGCAGGAGAGACAGAGTCCTGCATTTGGTAGCTAGGAGAGATGGAAGGAGCGACGTTTGCCAGGAAGCTTTTCTGTTTGCTTCAGTAGCTTCCGACGTGGCACATAGTGTTGAGTCTACATATGATTGAACCACAGATTTGTAGACGCAGGAGATCAACATCATAAAGACAGTGCTATAGCATATCATAACTGCGCATCTTCTCAACGCTCATACTGGCTACAACACCCTATCAGCATCATTCTTTTGTGTTGACTATAGGCGATATTAAGCAATTAATATTTCAATGATGGGAAGTTACATGGTTAATGGTATTAATCGCAATGTAGTCTGGTTGGATCGACTATGGTGATGGGGAAAGATAAGAAAATAAAACAAAAAGAAGAGAGTTGTGGTTGTCCAACCAAACAGCCAATTTCCCTGTAACGGGTAGGTGTCCTCCGGCGACGCCATCCCAGGGTGGAGGTGTCTCTGCAGAATTGCTTCCCTCAAGTATCACTTCCATTGCTTAGCGCCTTGTAGCATCGTGGATTACTCGCACGAGTACAACGACGACCCCAGGATTCGTACCGGGCACCTTTCCCGCTGGCGAATGCCGCAGCAAGGTTACTGACTTAGCGGCGGGCCTTCCACTAGGTTATCCATGACAGATTAAGGAAATTTTTCCTAATTGCTAAATACATTCAATCTTCATAACCGTCTTCAATGATAATCAATCGATCACCTGCTTCTGAGTATCAATATCGTCTCGATCCGTGCAAATTGTTCCAGCCTCTTATGTAATTAAATGTTACTTTGTCCCTTGTATCGTGGCATTTCATTTCGCTTCGCTTCTCACGTTACCAATCACGATGGTCCTGGCTGGAGACTCCCTTGACGCAGCACTATATATATTGGCCGCAATGCAATCAGGCCATCATCCATGCCCACACCACTTCCAAAGCGTCCAGAATTCTGCACGACATTTACCCGAGCAGCAATCACTATCCTCGAAGCAATAGCCGTGGTAACCAGCGCACTCAGTATTATGTTGCGTGAGACATTTGCCATGCACACATGTCTGACCTCTGAAGCAGTCGAATGAACTTTTGCAACCCATCGTGCATCTCAGGAGGTGCCCGTCGCAAATATGTCCATAGCCACAGTCCGCGCTGACCTCACACCTAGCTCTGTCCACCAGCTCTGGGGGCAGATGACCGTCTTCAACAGGACCCGTGAGAGGTTGTATCTTGGATCTAGAGCCGATTCCATGAACAACACCCACCAGCAGAATCGCAAAGGCGACGCAGATAAATTGAGACATGAACGCCATGATGGACGTTATTTTGCGGAGTCGCCACCGGGTCTCCCAGATCAGTTCCACGATAAATATGTGGCACCCGACTGAAACCATCAAACGAGCGAAGTTTGACTCACAGCAAAGGTATTCTTAATCCGAAAAAGGTCGAAGATGCCAGGTCGCTCCCCAAGCCCAATCTCAAGCACTCTGATCCTATATTGGGATGAAGTGCGTACGCTGAGGGTCTTCCCTACTCCTAGTGTGCTCATGTCCAGACTAGGCAATTGCCCAATTCGCCCTGGGTTAATCCATGGTGACTGCCAAAATCGAAACAACCACGTGGACATTGGCCGTTCGCGGCAGTCAGGTACCCTAAACGTCCGGGAAAGCTAGTCTATAGGCTTCCCTTTCTACTGGCCTTCTGGATACGCCTTGTCCATATAATGCGTATCCATACTCCGCACTAGCCGGCTCTTCCACTACCAAATACCAGTAGCTATGTGCCGTGCAGCTATATGTGAATACACATCCAGATACACCAGGGAGCTACATGCATGCGGGGGCTACAATCGAAACCTGATGCTTACGGGAGTACCCATATACTCTTGCCCCTACTTGGATATTCTCGATGCTCCTGTCGTCGTTCCGTACTCGACCAGCCTGAGACGGAACCACCCCGCCAGCCGAGATCCCAAATAAGATGACTTCCCCCCAACCCTGTAGAAAGGGCCACTTATGGTGCATGGCATCCAGGATACCACTATTTCTCGGTCCAAATTACTGTAAGTTGCAGGCGACGCGGCAAAGAAATTTACATGTCGACGAGTCGAGTGCATGGTGAATTCTTTAAGGAGAACCTCGTGCAGTAGCCTGACCAATACGCTGATAACTATGACCAGAACGATGGCAAGCGTCTCGTGAGAAGTGAAGTCGTTGAAATGCAATAGTAACATCATGATAGTATCACCGGCTGATGTATCACGTGCAGTGCAAAGAGTATCAAAACTCCTGCTACTATTTAGTTAAAACGACTACGTAGGTACTTGTTCCGGCGGACATTTATGCATAAACCATGTAGGTGTAATTTCCCTCGATTAGGTCCATGTCTTAGACCTGCCGAGACAGTACGCAACCGAGGTACTCCGTACCTGAGTACCTGAGTACGTATGTATTGACGCACTTGCCACCTATAATCTCAGATTGTTTTATTGATTCGGTGGCATTTTCAATGAAGACACGAGGCAGGCGTGAACTACTTCCAGGGATCCTTACAATTCATTGTATCCATGGCCCGTACTCCTTCCCTGCTCCACTTTCGTTCCCTCCACTGAAGTCCACACAACCAACTCTGGTTCCTGTGAAAATTGTTGGATTTAGCCTTTCAGAGTGGGAACCAACCACTCCAATTGCAAGCGCAAACTGTAAAGACGTGGGGCGTCTAAAGTCATACATCATGGGAGGGATAAAAAAATCCTCCCTTGTCTCAATGAGAAACAAGAAAAAGGATTTCTGGGGTTCCCGATGCTTTGACGTATACGGCTGGGTTAGCAGCAAATTACCGGCCGATTTAGCTACAACTAGTGAGGGAACGCAATGACTCCAGCCTTACTTCTGGTTAATGTGTTGCCGCTAAGATCGTCATCCAAGAAAGACATCGATAAATTGTACCAACGGGACCCCATTGCCGCCGATCATGTGAGATTGGGGGGTGTTGCACGGTTCCTGTCCTTTAATCAATCAGATTCCTTTACAGTTGCACACTTACACTCCAAATATCCGGGACTTCCCTCAAGAGCCCTATATCTGACCGCTTCCGCGATTTTGATTTAGATCTCATTCCAACATGGCTCCGTTTCGTAACTTCCTGAGCCGAAGGTCGGCGGCCCCCAATGGTGGGGAGATTGAGAACATCCATGAAGACAGCCGGGTGTCCACAGAGAGTCATCACTCCAATCCGTTGAGTATCAGAAAAAGCTACGAAAAAGAACCCCCAGAATATAAATTGAGTGGTATGCTTTCATACTCGCAAAAATCCCTAGCACCCTATGAGAGTCGAGGTTTCTAATTCCTTAATCTACAGTTGTCGACGATAGTGGTGCTTATCTGCCAGTAATTGCATCCCAACTTTCTTGAAGTCCCAGGATTCCACAACTAAGAATTGTCAATCGCAGCCCTCCCCCCCAGAGAAGCAGAGTTTCTGGAAGAAATATCCCGGTTCGAACCGACCGTCAACTCATCGAAATCTCGTTGACGATAATGAACCCTTCTCAATATCCCGCGAATCATTCGATTCGTACCGGCGGTCATTTGTGAGTTGGCAGGTCTTTATTTACCTGGAGCGTATGCCGGCTGACTCCGGGTGTTCTAGGATATTTCCGCTCGCTCTCCAGTGAGCTACACCGACACAATGCCTTCTCGAACTTCACTAGACTCACGATTCTCCCGCATTACGTCGCAGTCTACCTCGCACACGAACGGATTCTCGAAACCCGAGGCTATGGAAGAAGAGAAGTTTGAGGACGTGGGACTTGACGACGAAGAGGCTAAACCCAAAAAGAAAGGCATCTTCTCTCGGCTTAGCGATTTTTCTGGCGAGTCGCAGGCATCCGGAAACACAAAACCTGCATCGCAACATCTTGGATTTCACATCCCAGGCAGGAAAAAGGGATCCACCACTCTGGAATCTGAGTTAGGTACGATCAGGCCACCTGTCGGTACAGGAGCCGAGACCGCCTGAGATGTGTCACGCAACTCATTTATGGATAATTCAGTGGGAATTGAGTTGATTTAGGCGTCCGGGAGAACGGATTCTTTGGTGTTTGACTGCTTTGTGACAGCCGGGATTTGGAAACCGGGCGCATTTTGTTCTGTGTACCTATTTCACATGTGCTGTATACGGTATGGCTTTTTGTCTTATTCGAGAGCCAATCTGGCATATCCTCATGTCACTACCTCGATATTTAATATGTACATGACATAAAGATAATCTACTCTCTCTTATGTACTCGTATCTGATGTCTCAATCAAGCATGATCCTTATCAGCGGGGGAAACAAACAATGCAAACACAACCCGACCGCCCTCGAGACAAAAAAAAGTGAACCGACTTTTCTCCGGCAGTAACAGCTTCAAGAAAATTTATCTAGCCAGCGATACGGGATATAGCAAAGCAATCCTTCCAGCACCCTCAATTCATTGGATATTTAATCGCCAACACCGCCTACAAAGTCGACAATATGGTCGGCGTAAAACGTCCCGTCGATGCCGGCGACGAGCGCAATGGGAAGCGGACCAAGACCAAGACAGCGCCCGTGACAACAAAAAAGGCCAAATCCGCGCCAGTGAAGAAGTCTGTCACGCAGAAGAGTTCGAAGAAGGATGTCAAGTCTGGAAAGAAGGACAAGAAGTCTAAGAGGAAGGTAGAGGAGGAAGAGGAGGACTTTGACGATGACGAGGACGACTTCGATATCGATGATATTCCGGACTCGGAGGCTGATGAGGATGATGTTGAAGATGTCGAGATGGGTAGTCCGAGTGACGATGATGAGGAGGAAGACGCTCAGGAGGAGAAGAAGCAGAAGACCAAGGCGCCCGCTGCCTCAACGAAAGCAGAGCCCCCGAAGAGTATGGCGACCCTCTTTTTTTTTTTTTTTTTTTTTTTTTCCCGAATTACCTGAGCTGACAATACCCTCTTTTCTAGACAACAATTCTCGCGAAGCACATGCAAAGCAGAAGACCCTTCTACAAGAGCGGAAAGCCGCGAAGCCTAACGCCGACATCATAGCTCGTTCAAAGCAGCTGTGGGAACGTCTGCGTCGCAAGTCTCACGTCCCGCTTGAGGAACGGAAGAAACTCATTGCCGAGCTTTTTGAGATTATCAATGGGAGAGTCAGGGATTTTGTTTTCAAGCACGATTCCGTCCGGGTCATTCAGACGGCTCTGAAGTACGCGAACGTCGAGCAGCGGAAGCAGATCGCACAGGAACTCAAGGGTCACTACAACGAGCTGGCGCAGAGCCGCTACGCCAAGTTCCTAGTCGGCAAACTGCTTGTTCATGGCGACACCGAGGTGCGAGACCTGATCATACCGGAGTTCTATGGACACGTGAAGCGGCTTATTCGCCACCCGGAAGGATCTTGGATTTTGGACGATGTCTACCGGACGGTTGCGACCAAGCAACAAAAGGCTACGCTTCTTCGGGAGTGGTATGGCACCGAGTTTTCGATATTCAAGGATGAACAGGCATCTGCCGAGCTGTCGGAGATTTTGGAGAAGAACCCCGAGAAGAGATCGCCCATTATGCACTTCCTGCACGAGATGATCAACCAGCTGGTGCAGAAGCGGACGACCGGCTTTACGATGCTGCACGATGCCATGCTGCAGTACTTCCTTAACACAAAACCCGGTAGTTCAGAGGCGAACGAGTTCATTGAGCTGCTCAAGGGGGATGAAGAAGGAGATCTTCTGAAGAACCTGGCTTTCACCAAGTCTGGGTCGCGAGTAATGTGTCTGAGCTTGGCCTACTCCAACGCCAAGGATCGGAAGCTGCTCACTCGCGCTTACCGCGATACCATCAAGATGATGGCTGGGGACCTCCACGGCCACATGGTTCTCCTGGCCGCATACGAAGTCATCGATGACACCAAACTGACGTCCAAGTTGATTTTCCCCGAGCTTCTCAACCAAGGGATGGAAGAGGAGGCGCGCAATGATGAGCTGGTCTATCAGGTCAACGACCTGACGGCGCGGATACCGATTCTCTTTCCCTTCGCCGGAGACCGCGCCAAGTGGCTTGTACCAGAAGCCGATCAGGAAGTGTTGAAGGAGATTCGGGAGATCCGAAAGGAGACCTCGAAGAAGGAGCCTGCTGTCCGTCGCCAGGAGCTGGTCAATGCGGCATCTCCCACTCTGCTCAGTTTCATAGCCGCTCGCGCCGAGTCTCTCCTGGAGACCAGCTTCGGATGCCAATTTATCGCCGAGGTGCTGTTCGACGCTGAGGGTGACAAGACCGCCGCCCTATCGGCCGTTGCTGCCGCCGCCAAAGTCAAATCAGAGATGAAGGACTCGCCTTTCTTCGGAAGACTGCTCAAGTCCCTGGTCCAGGGGGGTCGGTTCAATACCGCGGAGAAGGTGGTGGAGAAGGTGCAGCCGCCTCTGAACTTCCATGCCCTGCTGTACGAGCAGATCAAGGGCGAGATCATGACGTGGGCCACGGGACCCAATACGTTCGTTGTGGTTGCGCTAACGGAGTCGGACGAGTTTGCTAAGAAGGACGAGCTCTTGAAGACGCTGAAGAAGGGCAAGAAGGCGCTGGAGCAGGCGGCTGCGGGGAGCGGCAAGGATGAGAAGAAGGCTGGACCGACCAGCAGCGGAGCCAAACTGCTGCTGGAGAAGATTCGATGAGTTGTTGTATATTCGGCAGGCGGATGTTAAAAAGCATATTGTAATTCTGGTTGAATCGTACATGGGTCTGGCCAATGTGTTTGGATCTTTCTTATATCGCCATATATCAGGGATTTTTGTACAGGGTCTATCATTCCTACTAGGGCCAATCAAAAGCATGATATTCAACTGCAGCAGTCGCTACAGTCACAATGGAGTCGTGCCTCTTTCTCTGAAGCGGCCAGACGAGCAGCGTCTAGAGAAGTTGACAGTTGACACGTCCAAAACTCGATGCAATTAAGCTTGAGGTTACCACATGGCAGTGATTAGACAGTCGATTTACTTTATTACAAGGTTTACATTAGATGCTTAATGCTTCAAAACTTAAAAGACTCAGACTCAGGAAACATCAAACTACAGCCTTAATAGACTAGATAGATACAGGGGAGTTAGAGCGGAACCAGCGGAGAGTCAACCATGGGCCCCGGTTCAGGGGTAACAGTTAAGTAAACAAACTAAAACGGCATCTATCTAGAACAATCCAAATTACGATGATCTTTATTTCCTGGATGTTGACCATGGTGCCATGGACTCTGTCTCTTCCTGATGGCTTCAAGTGCTTATCATTGCAAGATGCAGCTACAGCCACAGCATATCTACGTTCGAGTAAAGTCATGGTATGACTTCCAACACCGTCATTATGACCCACAACATATCTACATGTTTGCTCTACCGTCAAGGAGCCCTCTCTCCCATGCCCAATCTCAAGCGAAATTGGATTCAAATTTGTCCTGAACGGCTGGCGATCTAACATGCACGGATCCCTGCCTTTTTGGGCCTGGCTGCGAAAGGAATGGACTCTCCTAAGGCCTTTTAGGAAGTTTACTATCTATGATACTATCCATCTAACTAACTACAGTAGGGACTAGACTTTGACTTTTTGGCTTCCTTCAGGGTCATCGGAGAAAAAGAAGACAGCCATGTTATCTCCCTCCTACTCAGTCGCGCCTCCAGCATTTTCATTTTTGGCTTGTCTTCCTTGCTTCTTTTGCTAACTATTTCTCTTGTCATTAATTCTTAATCCTAATCTGTAGAATCCGCCTTTCTCTGTCGCCCCGTCGAAGCGGATCAATTATTGTCTCGGAACTGGTTCGCGCTTGCATAGACAGATCAGAATCAGGATACTACGGGCTGCATTGCCATCCCTTTCGCTCATTTCAACCTGCAGGTTCTGCGTTGAAACGCTCGTCTGTCGATCCCAGATGGCCTTATGTTGAGATTACCCGTCTTCACCTGTGGACTCATCGCCGACCGCTCTTCAGTTCTACACCGTCCCCCAGCGTGAAAAATTACCCCATCACTAAATCAATGCTGGATAGCGCATCCTCTGGGCGCAATGCCCGGCAGCATCGACATCAACGGTCTCCACCAATCATCCCACCGTCCCCGACGTTATCGAATCCAGATATGATCCTGCCATTTGACGAAGGCGAGCGCGAGTCCTCCACCCCCTCTCCGCCATTCAACTTGCCCTCCTTTTCCCATCTCCAAGCATTCTACGAGAATAAACCCCTTCCGAGTTTACCCGGCACCGATAACTCGCATGGCGCACCTTATGGTCCCTCCGTGCGACCGCAGAAGAACTTTCCGCGACACGCGCGGCTGCAGGAGAGTCGCGACGCGAGTCGTCGTCTTTCGGACATCGGGGAGGAAGATACCGGGGCGTGGCCGCGCAAGGGGGAAGGTTCTGGGAATTTGAGTCTGGCATCGCATGGTTCCGCACCGAGATTGGCTAGTTCTCCTGTATTGTATGGGCGCGGGGAGAAGGAGACGAGAGACCAAAAGACGTGGAGTAGCTCTTCTGGGTCAACAATCAGCGCTGTGAGCGTGAGTGAGCCGCCGCTGCAGGAGATGACTAAGAACAACGCGGATGGATCGGGGGCTTTGGACAGTGAGGAAGTTCCGGGCGTGATGTCGGTTGCCAAGCAGAAGGGACCAGATGATGAGTTCTCATCGGCCATCTTGGAAAGTGAAGCGGAGCGCATCCTCGAAAATGCCAAGAAAAAACTCACGGTGCGTTGTGCAGTCAGCGACGAATGTTCTGGACTAACCTGGCTGCAGCTCATGGAAGGAAACCTCTCCCGTGCCCGATCGTCGATACGGTTGTCGCCCTCGCTTTCACCCTCACCATCGCCGGCTGCTGGCACTCAGCCATTGGGACTCGGGCAGCCCGTCGGGGGCTTATACCAGTCAATCTCCCGAGCGGACCGCAGGATTTCGGCCCTGCGCCCTCGGTCGACGTACACCTCGTCGCAAGATACGGCCAACAATAGACATTCGCGCGTTTACAGTGAAACAAACCTACCGTCAACAGCGCCTTCCGAGCCTCCGACTACCGGGCCTAGTTTGTCACGATCCATGAGCGCCATGGGATCGAGCACTTCGTCCAATTTTCACAATGATGAACGGTCGTTTCACTATGATACAACCCGAGCTTATCTCACTCACCGTGCGTCTGTCTCATCAATGCAACCACCGGGCTCGATTCAACACGCACACTCTGTTCAACAGAGTGGGAACAACTCCGAGACGCCGAAGGGACTAGGTATCACAAGTCCCGACGTGGAATCTGAGAAAACGTACAAATATGAAGAATTCAACTCTGAGCATCCCTCTCACGACCCTCCGTCTCGCGCCCAGTCACAGCTTCAGGTGCGAGATCTTCAGGACCAGATGAAGGGGCTTCATATCAAGATTTCCAGTCTGAAGGTCAAAGCTCAAGAGGACAATCTACGGCGGCGAAGCCTGCAGAGCTTGAGGACGCCAAGTCCGTTCACCGAGGGGGACCAGTGGTATCCGAGCGCGTTGGAACTCAAGAACAGCAATGGGAGTCTCCGGTCAAATCAGGGACGTGGGCGTACTGCCGAGGCTCAGGAGAACCATCACCACCAGGAACGTCTTCAGGAACCCGAGACCGTAAGAAATGGATTTACGTACGAGAGAAACCATCGAACTGAACAACCAGAAACAAAGCTTCAGCGAAAGCCAAGTGCTGCTTCTCATGCAGTTTCGCTCAATGAGAGCTTGTATGAGGATGCAGAGGAGGGGGACTACGACAGGGACGGCTCCCCGGGGTCGGACATTGACCGCGAAGCTTTAGAGGAGATACTTCGCGAGCCCCTGGACGACGAGGACTTGGAAGAGTCCCTGGAGGCTTTTCCAGCTGTGCCTCAGCATACCGAAATGACACCGCACGAGGAGCGGGAGGACGCGTTTGATTATGAGCATTTCATACTTCACAGCGCGTTGGGCAATTACTCGCGCAGCAAACTGCGCCGCGCTAGCAATGTGTCGACCTCGTCCGTTGAAACCACACGACCCTACCATGAAGCTTCGGGGACTCGACATTCACGGTCTGACAGTACGGCCTCCTTGTCCACCATTGCAACGTTTGCCACAGCCATAGAGGGCGACGACGATATTGAGAGTGTACTCTACTGGGACAGGAAGTTCAACGACGGTAGGTCATCGAGCTAGCTAAGGGAGAAGTCAGCAGCCACTAACGTCAGTAGAACTGCGGAGCCGTCAGCCCTATACTGAACCTGCACAAACGGCTGGCGATTTGGCGTCCATGGGGACACCACGTGCTTCACGAAAGCAGGCGAACCACAGCGGGACGACGAACGGAACGGACGCCTCATCGAGAACATTTTCTCCTGTTCAGCGGTCAGACTCGGCCACGAGCTCCATCGTCTCCTCGCTTGTGTCGACAGTGCGGGCTGCGTCAAGCCCTCACCCGAATACACAAAACGGGAGATCCGGACTCAATAACGACGATACCCGGCTCTTGGAGCAATTGTTTCAAAGCCTGGGGAAGGTCTGTTTGGACCTACAGATGCTTACTGCCTCTACCGAGCCTGATCCGAAGAGGGAGCGGGTCTTGCGACGGCGGTTGGATGCGGCTCGGAGGGTGTTGGATGGCGAGCTTGACGCTTGATTTCGCTGGAGGTAGATTCAGCGGCACCGAGGCATGTGGATGATGATTGATTATTGTTGCTGGGTGGTCTGTCTCGACTTGCATTTGCGATGGTTCGAGGCGTTTTCATGATACCCTTGTCTTGAACTTGCGACTGTATATATTACTTGGATGTCTTCTGCATAAGGCCGTAGCCTCTCTCAACTGATGTTTATGCATCGGATCGTATTTGTACCAGATGCATCGATTGTCCTCTGATCTGAAACGCCTCTGTATAGTGATTGTCATGATCATTGATGGTCCGTAGTGTTGTTATCAATCAAGAACCCCCACTAAACACGTGGGCCGGACGCGTACCAACGCGCCTAACCCCGCCAAACATCCATTTATGCTAGAGACCATCGAGGGTTTATGGATTGGATAATCAGGTTATTCTCGAATCACAAGTCCACAATGGTCATATAGGGGTTAATTCCGAACCCAGTCATCTAGAGCTTATCGCCAGAGTCGAGTTCTGCGGCTCGATACGCCTATACAGAGCGTGCATATCGTCAATATTGATTGATATCAATGCAGAAAGTCATATTCACTTGCGAATAAAGACACCCAACAACGACACCACCAACCCCACCAGGTGAATATAGATCATGGACCTCGATCCAACCCTCATCAAATCAACGAACTCAACAACAAGCCTACGCAGCTTCAGCGCCAGAGACTCAAACACAATGAATCCAGCGCGCCTCTCGCGCCGCCTCCTCGTCTTCCAGGAAGCCCGCAACCCAAGCAACATGAGCGAAATCGTCTACCTCCCCGTCAACAAACTGGGTCTGCCCATCTGCGGCCCGGGCCCAGAGTTACCCTCCATCCTGGAACTCCCCTTGCGGATTCTGAGGGCGTTTACGGACATTTTCAACCAGCCTAAGTATAAGGGGTGGTATGTTTTTATTTCCTCTCTCTTCTCTTTTTGCTATCCACATGTGGATATCTACAAGAATGATGGACTGATGCTACTGACAGGGCGGTTCTGGCGGCGGGCCCATACCATGATACCTCGGAAGAGGGCAAGTATTATGCTGTGGTGCTGGAGCAGACTCACAGTCATACTCGGGAGGAGGCTGTGTCCTGATGATTTGGGTAGTGGATTGTATACCGTATTGTATGCTATGACGATGTGATGATTTCTATCCCCTTTGTATTGTTGTATTTGGATAAGACTGAGTCCCTTTACTCTGGTGTTATGTGCAATGCATCATTCACGATCTCTCCTGTCTCTGTCACTCTCTATCCCACCTCATCATGGCCAACCATCGCCAACATGATTACATCCTCTACACAACAACACCGATACCAACCCTAGCAATGAAAAATGGAATACCTCCTTCTCATCTTCCGCAAATGGGGCGAAACAGAAACATACTGGCTCATCAACGGTCCTGGCCTGCCCGTCTCCCCCGACTCGCCTCTCCTCCACAATACCCCAGCCGATCCAATTCTCGTCCCTGACCTCCTCGCATCGCTCACTGAGACCCTGACGAGCGATATGGCAGTTTACACAGGGTAGTACGTTCCTTCCCTTGCCCCATCTCTCCTGCTATCCACACGCCAACGGTCAACCTTAATAATGTCAATATAGTCAATTCACGAATACCTGGTCCACAACCACAGCCACAATCACAACCACCACCACCAACGACTCCAAATCAAAACCAACAGACCACTTCGTCCTCCTCGAGCGTCAAAACTCCACATTCAAGACCAATCTCCCAACTCAGACTCAGAACCAGAAGCAAGGAGAAGCAGAAGCAGAAGCAGCGGCTGAAAACAAAGATTTAAAAAACACACACCATCACACCATCCCCGGCTCCATCAGCTGGATGTCAAGAGACATGTCGCGCATAAACGAACATCTCTCGCAGGCGCTCGAGATCTGCGGGTCTGATCTGTGTGCGTTGCTTGCGGGGAATGAATGACATTTGTTTCGACTTTGTTGATACATACTATGATAGTAGATTTCCTGATGGACTGGACTAGGACTAGGATCGTCTGGGGTACTGATGCTGGGTGCCGGTGCTCTATGCTCTATGAGATGTGGAATATGTAAATTAGTTAAATACCCTAAAAGTCATTCGTGAAAGTGTTGGATGCTCTGTACAACTATTGGAACCCATCGCTTGTGGTGTTTTAAGTTTATCAAGCTATACTCTGCCAGCCGAGTATATCTCCCATCCTCGATGGTCTAACGGTCATGATTTCCGCTTGTCACTCCAACGAGAACGAGCGCGGGAGACCAGGGTTCGACTCCCTGTCGGGGAGAATTTTTTTGCTGAATTTTTACTGCTCCTCTATATTCTTTTTTGGTGCTATACTCGCATTCTCGAATCTACTTCATATTATATTAAAGTGGACCAGTAAACTCGTACATGAATAAACATACATCCTCCTTGAAGATAGGCTACAAAGCGTAAGGTAAAAAAAAAGGACAGACAAATCGATTTGAGCCGCCTCATAGGTGACCTTCCCATCGAACTTCACTAGTACAAACCGATCGCAAACCGCTTCATCTAATTTTCATGATCACGTCAATTTTGCTTCCACCGCTTACGTATAAACATTCGTCGGGGGAAGCAGCTTGGCACCATAGCGGAGATCGAGAGAGCGAGAGTCGTTGGGATCGAAAACCGCGGCCTGGCGTTGCTCGAGATAGAGAGCTATCGAAGAGTTAGTTTCACCCAGCCCTCGTTGAGGGTTCATCTCACTTACGAGTGATTTTGATCATGTCAAACCAGCGAGCTGCATTCTCGTCACTACCCTCCATAGCCTTCAAAATGCCATCCGCTCCCGGAGCCGCCTTGGGGGGCAAGCTGCGCATCTTCAGCAACATGTGCAGAATGTCAGAGAAGCGATCGCCTTGGCTGGCATAGTATGGAGGACGCTTGTCCAGAGGCCACTGTGATCGTGTCAGATATAACATAGACTACGGGCAATGAAATGACTTACCCGCTGCGCAAAGTTCTCGTCATCCCAGGAACGAAATAGCCAGCAAGTTCGCTCAACGCAATTCAGAAGCAAGAGCGCAACCAGGAATGTCTCGAACCAGCCGCTCTGCTGGCGCTGCAGTAACCTACGTTCCAGGTCATTCATCACAGACTTGCTCAGCTGAGATGCCCGCTTCTCGGTCGCGGCGCGCAACTGGTTGCAAAGGAGCCCGTAGGATTCGGCGTTAGTAACCTCGTCAATAGGCATGCGGCCATCATCTGACGGCTGTGCGAGAGAGTGCATCGAGGTGGGTGGCAGGGTTGGGTTGCAGTATGTTTTCCAGCGAAGCTCCGAGTCGACCAGGATGTGCGTTGCAACCCACAACTCCAGGACTCGTTCCAACAAGACATCCTACATATGTCAGACATAAATCGCAATGTGTCAAACGGATGCTTACCTTCTTCTGCTGACTCAACTCCAACGCGAGCATCAGAGTGGACTTGATGATGTCAGAAGTCTCCCGCTCGTAGAAAAATGGCGCTGTCTTCTTGATGTACATTTCAATCTTTCCAGGAAGGTCATCGGCATCGCTGTCGAGCAGATAAAGTTCGTGCAGAGGACCCTGGAATTGCGGATCGTCTCCAAGACCTTGAAGCTGAGGATCAAGCGTCGACATCGATGGCTTGTGGCCTTGAAGTCCACTGAAAGTGATGTAGACCATACTCTCCTCGAAGTGGGTAACCTCGATGCGGCCGGCATAGTGCTCGAATTTGACTTGATTCTTTATACTGCTGACATCGTGATATGCGAGGGTAGCATGCAAGTTTGCGTTGTAAAGCTCAAACTCCTCTGCAATACGAGTGCGAATGCACGGATGCTTCCAGAGACGAGCGCTCTCAACACTGGCGCAGGTAGTGCAGGGGCTCTCACCGGAGCACGGTTTCTTGAGCATGCGACAGCGGATACAAGCTCCTCGTTTGCGCACTTCTTGCACCTCCCTACGTCTCGCGGCGGAGAAGCGACCACGCACCTTGGGTTTAGTCGGTTTGGTCGCGTTCCCAAACTCATTGACGAAACCCTTGGCCTGAGAGTTTGGATTCATAGCAATAGGACGAGGGAACGAGGCCGCACGTTGAGTTGCGGCGGTAAGAGTAGGGTCATGTTCCTGAAGGCTGTCGAAGAGAAGCTGCTCATGACTCGAAAGCTGCTGGTTCCACGGGGATGAGCCAAGCTTGGGCAGGCCATCCGACATGAGAGCGTTCGGATCATGATCCATCGGGATGCCCTGAGGAACCATCTCACTAGCCGATGCGGCGATCATAGATAGCTGCGATTGGCGAGCATTGGAGGTGGGATCGGGGGTCAACGAAGGCTCCACCAGTGGAGGGGACGCAGAGGAAGGATGGTCATTCATCGAAGTGCTTGGAAGGGAAGGAATGGCCGTGGCAGCCGAAAGCTGGGGGGTTCCTGTAAAATAATCATGTTAGCACGCGACACCAGAAAAGGGACGAGATTGACAAAATTCAGTGCGGTGACAAAAGAGAAAATCTTACCAGGCGGTTTGATGTCCTCCTCAATATGCTCTGGCTGAGTAGGATGGCCCTGAAAACCTTCGGCCTCGAGCGCCGGGTCAACAACTACAGTCTTACCCCCAACAGTGACAGACTGAGCATATGCAGGGCCGCCCCCTTTGGTGTGGTCGGAGGCGCCGACCTGTCTCGAGGCTTCTGCCAGCACGTTCAGGCCATCAAAATTTTGTCTTGTCGTGTATGGCAGATCAACTGATTTGCCTTTGCTTTGGCCCGCCAGGTTGGGATCCTTGTTCTGATCGCCGTCGGCAAGGTCGGGGAGCTCGTGGAGTCGCAGCAGAACGCGTTGTCTGTCACGCAGCGGGATCGCTTGACACTTCTTCACCAAATGGTTGGTCAAGCTGTCGATGCGACCTTTGGGGAATTTCTCGCCGCAGGCTCTGCACGTGTGTTGGTAGCGATTACTGGCGTCCTCGAGCTTTTGGCCTCGAATGAAAAACTCGAGGATGAGTTGGTTTGGTTTGCGACCCATGGCGAGGGCGTGCGGCCAAATGTGCGACCAGTCAGGATGACCTCGACAGAAATGACGAACAACGGACTCTATACTTTCAAGCTGCAGTCAAGTAGCTAATTAGTATCATGAGTCAATATCAATCACAAAGAATCACAGAAAACTGTATGATAGCACAGGATCACTAACTGTTGTGACGCACAGGTGAGACTCAGACGAGGGGTGGAAATCGATGGCAAAAAAAGATCCTCGCGACGTGAGCAACACAAGAGCCTGACCCGTCCTGTGGCAATGCCTACCAGCAGGAAGAGCCTATCAAGATAATATTCTCGTAGAAATAAAGAACAGAATACTGCTTGGATTGAGATTGAGACGATGGTAAGAAGAGGAGGAGGAGATGGAGGAGTGGGATGGAGCAGCAATAATTCGCGAGGTAGGCGGCAAAATGGCTTCTTCACAGGCGGTCTGGGGCCTGCCGCCTGGAAGCTTCACTGTGGCTACTGGGATGTGCTTCACCGCATGCAAGGCGGTGATGATGTCGGTGATGAGGTCGGTCAGTGTCTTTTATTTATTATTATTGTCGTTTCTCATGGGCATGGATGTTTTAGGCTCGGTCATGAAAAGCATCTATGATGGAGGAGACTTCATAGAGAAATCCTACCACTCGAGTCTCCTCTTGAGTCTAATTGTTGGCCACTTTTCCTTGTATGGGTTCTTCGCCTCTGCTGTACCAGGTAACCAGTCCACAGTCCACATACCCCCAAAATAACATGGTCTCCAATATCCAACTCACTGCACAATAGTAGAGATGCATATCCATCTAGAGACCGCCTTTTGTCCTCGAGCTGACAGGCCAAGACCATACCCTGCATTGGACTCGACAGTAGTACGTACTCGCTATTCTTATCCTATCGAAGACCGTAAGAAAAACAACAGATATTACGGGCTTGCTGCAGAGGTGAGTGAAGTCTGCCTTACGCCAGCTGAAATTCGGTCACCAAGGAAAGTTAGACTGCTTGAATCTTGAGAAGTAAGGTAAAAAAGGAAAAAGCAAATAGTTCCTATTCAAGAGCTACCCAGGCCTACGTGACATATCATGCTGTCATCCAG